AATCAACATGGGAAGTAGAAAAAGACAAGATCTCCTGAATAAATTGGGAGCATGGGGACCTTGGGAGAGGATTGAAGAGGAGGGGAGAGGCAGGAAGAGGAGCAGAGAAAAATGTAGAGCTCAGTAAAAATCAACAAAATTAAAAAAGAAAATAAACAAACCACACACACGTGTGTGTATACATGTGTGTATACCCATATAAACACATACATACACACACACACAAAATGCAAAAAGCCTTAGCTGCTTCGGTATAAATCCTTCTAAAATGTATTACATTATTTTGTTTTATTTAGAGTGCATAGGCTATAATGTAACCTTTCCTTGATTTTGGTTTTTTTGTTTGTTTGTTTGTTTTATGGTTTTTCGAGACAGGGTTTCTCTGTGGCTTTGGAGCCTGTCCTGGAACTAGCTCTGTAGACCAGGCTGGTCTCAGAACTCACAGAGATCCGCCTGCCTCTGCCTCCCAAGTGCTGGGATTAAAGGCGTGCGCCACCAATGCCCGGCTTTTAATTGTTTTTTTAAAGATTAAATTTTTTTACATGTCTATAGGCGTGTCTGTGTGTATGTGTGTATGTGTGTGTGTGTGTGTGTGTGTGTGTGCATGTGTTCACTGAGGCCAAAATAGGACGTCTGATCTCCTGGAGCCGGGACTTACAGACACTTGTGAGCTGTCTGACGGGTCCTGGGACCTGAACTCTGGTCCTCTGAAAGGGAACAAGTGCTCTTAGTTGCTGGGCCACCTCTCCAGGCCCATAGTTCTCAATCGTTGATTAATGGACCAGTTTTCTTCTAGGTGTCAACTGAGAACTCAGACACCAGATTATCAAATCCATGAGGACTGCGTGTTAGGAGTAAAGACATTTTACTTTGCCGTCTCTATTCAACAGATACCAGGAGGCCTCACCTGAGAAGGGAGGCCAATAAGTAAAGAAGTAGATGGCATCCAAATTGAAAAAAAATAATAAGTAAAATTATCTTTATCCCCAAATGAAATCAGGAAACCCTAAAAATTCCACAGAAAGTATTAGTACAAACTTTTATTGCAGGACACACAGTAACACATAAAAATCAGCTGTGTTTCTACACACTAACCATGAATAAACCAAAATGGAAATCAAGGAACTGATTCCATATATAATAACATCAAAAAGAAAAAAAAACACTTAGGAAAAAACTTAGTCAAAGAAATAAAAGACCTGTACACTGAGTTCAAAGCCAGTCTGGATTAAATAGTGAGGCCTCAATTAAATAAAACAAACAAAGAAATTATTAAGTGAGAAACGGCAACTCATGGAATGTGAGAAAAATATCACAAAGTACTTATCTGACAGCAGGCGAGGGCTCACGTATGTAAAGAACATATAACGTGGTGACAGAAACCAACCCAGTACAAAGCCGGGTAGGATGTGAGTAGACTTTTCATTTCTCCAAAGAGGAGCTGAGCATGGCCAGTAAACACACAAACGATGTTCACATCTTCTCAAACCGCAGGGAGGGAGGAGGGAGGCAACTTACAGCGGGAGACGTCTGGAAATACTATAATAAAACAACGCCAGCTGCCTGAGGTCAAGGCCTGCTTGGGCTACAAGCTGAGCTCAAGGCCAATCCCGAACACACCTTGTCTCCATTCTGAAAACAGGGCTTGTGCTGTAGCAACGGCTTTGGACGTGATCCCTGCTTTTGTAAAACCGAACAGCGAGACAAACATAAACCTACAATGACATTTCTTTATATGCATGAGGATGGTCACTTAAAACCTATAGAATTGCACAAGTTGGCAAGGATATGGAAAGACAGGACTCGTTATGCACTGGTGGGAGTCAGAAATAGCACAATATTTATGAGAAACTATGCTGATTCTTATAAAAAATATACCCCATAAAACTATCATAACCCTGCATCTAATTTCTTGGTATAAATCACAAAAAATTGAAAGAAGAAACTCAAACACGTCTGCACACTCATGTTTATCCCAGCGTTATTCTTAACAGCGAAGGACGAAAGCAACCCAGGTATCATGGAATGTGGCACGCACTCTCTCCAGTGCACATAGAAAAGTGTGCAGGTGTGCACGCGTGTACACACACACACACACACACCGAGTATAGTCAGCTTTAAATATGAGAGGAACTCTGATATAAGCTACAACATAGATCAAACTTAAAAATGTTAGGTAAAAGAAACTATTTCAAATCACCACGAGTCCACTTACGTGGTGTCTACAGCAGCCAAATTCAGAGGCAGCCTTGCAATGCTGACTCCAGGAGATCACAGGTGGGGGAAGCGGGGCGTTAGTCTTACTGGTACAGAGTCTCAGTTTAGAAGATAAAGAAGTTAGGGAGATGGCTCAGTGGTTAGGAGCACTGGCTGCTCTTCCAGAGGGTCTGGGTTTGATTCCCAGCACCCATATGCCGGCTCTCCACACTCTGTAATCCCAGTCCCAGGGGGATTAGACACCTTCTTCTGGCCTCCAAGGGCCCTCTGTATGCATGTGGTACACAGACATACATGTAGGCCAAACACCCATACACATAAAAATAAATAAACCAATAATTTTAAAAGATGAACATTCTAATAAGGGATGGAGATGGCTGTACAACAAAATGCACATAAAGTTTTTTTTTTTATCACAAAGAAAAGCAGTGTAAATCTGATATAGTGGCGATGTGTTATCTATTAGCTAGTGCTTTGCTGCTGTGGTAAGAATCCCACGCCCACCCTTCTACCCCAGTGCCCAGGGCCATCTGTCTTAGCCCAGTGTTAGCACCTGTCCTCCCAAAAGATGCTCCCATGCAAATCAGACTCACTGGATAGAAAGAACAAGATTACAGACCACCCGGGAATGGGAACCTTCACAATAACCTGAACACCGCGTTATCTGAGCACTTCACAGAGCCTGGCCTCACCCAAGCATGCACGCGTGACCTCTTTGGTCAAGTGACTTTTAGCAGATGCACAGTCATTGCGCTGAGTAACAGGAAGACAGGAAGAAAAGGGTGAGCTACTGTCCTAAATTTGCAAGCCTGGCCTGAGAGGAAAACAGAACACATAAGCCTCCCCATGAACTACGGTAGCCAGATTTAGCAAGTAAAACTATAGGGCTCCGTTGTTTATCGGAAATTCAAATTTCACTGGGCTACTATCTTATCTGGTAGTGATCTAAAGTCTGGGGATTGAGGAGAAAATAAAAAATCAAGGCTGTTCTGATCTGGAGTTACTGAGGTCTGCAAGGAGCCCATGCTGGGAAACCTACTGATTACAAAAAAGAAAGTTAAGGTAGGCTTGACTTCTGAAAGTGATGGTCAAGTTGCATGTGGGGGCCCATGCCTTTACTTCCATACCTCAGGAGGCAGAGGCAGTTGGATGTCTTTGAGTTCAAGGCATGCCAGAGCTATAAAAGCAAAACAAAACAAAAAAACAAAAAAACTCCCAAAAACAAACAACAAAAGTGTCCTTTGACTTCAATATAATAACCAGCAGAAAGAAGAAATAAACAACCATGCAAATGTCCAGAGCCAGGCAACAGGAGGGGCACTAGGGATAGCTAAGCGGCGACTTCCCATGAAGGCACACACTACCGCTTACATTCTACAGAGCCGCTGAGGGAACTCCTGTGCTATTTATTTATGATTTGTTCGTTTGTTTGTTTCTGGAGATTGAAGCCATTGGCTTGATGCCAGGCAAGTGCTCTGCCAGTGAGTTACAACCCTAGCCCCTCAGCTTTGCTAATACTTTGAGCCCGGTTGGAACAATGAATGCTATCAGGCCCTTCTTAGCTTGTAAACGGCTACCGTTTTCCAGCACGGTTTCAGCACCCAGCAACACTGTCTGCTTTCCTGAAAGCTTGGGCCAACTGTGAACCTGACCAAGGTCCCTCTCTTTTTCAACCTGCCTGCAGCACCTGCTCGCTAGTTAGAGTCAGGTTTAGCGGCTGGGGCTGGCTCTAGAGTTCTTCCCCAGGGGGAGCAGCTAGTCTCCAAGGAAGAGGAACTGTAACCCTGGCAAAGCTCTTTCAAGATTATCTGGGTAGCCTCTAAGGCACCAACCAATAAGAACCTCTGCAGCTCTATGACTGCCTTTAAAACAAAAACAAAACCACATAAACAGCAGATACATAGAAGTCCTAATGCAAATGAAACTGGAAGAACGGATGGGAAGGTGATAAATTCTGCACTTCCTAGAATGAAAGGCTGAACTAACTCCCCAAATGACACCCCCTTTCTTCTTTATGTAAGGAGACACACCTTTCCTGTCCCGCAGTCCCTGCATCGGGCTCATGTATTCATTCATCTCCCCAGTAGGTATTTCATCCGTGCTACTATGTGCCAGGCACTGTGCTGGGGGCTGGGGTAACAAAGATGAGCAGTGTGTGGTCCTCTCAGAGTCTGCAGAGCCACCTTGGCAAGCCACAGCTAGTCTATGACAACTGGATCACCTTGTCCTTCATGGCAGGTGGGCGCAGTAACAGGGCAGCAGCAAACTAAAGGTTTCTCCCCGGGAAAACTGGGCGAGAATGAGGGAGGACCGAAGCTGGCACTGGGCAAGGACCAACTTGGGAACCAGGAGGCAAACGGACGGATGGCGCAGAGGATCCGCTGCGGTCACTGCCGGAGACGACGGCAGCTGTGCTCCCACCGGGAGGACACAGATGTGGGTTCAGCGATGACTGGCACGAGCCAGTCCGGGCATCTCGGGGAAAGGGGGACAGTTTGAGGAGACGGTTGGGGGTGGACTCGGGGTGGTGCCTAATGGGCTGGCTGATGCTGGGTTTTTGAGGGTTCCTTGGACCTTGGAACAGCAGGGTCTGCAGCAGAGCCGGGGACCAGAGGGTGCGGACGGGAGGCGCGAGGGCGGGGCGGGGAGGCCGAGCGCCTGGCTGTGGGCAGGGTGGGTGGGCAGGCCGAGGCCCCGTCCCGAAGGACCCCTCGAAACGCGGGGACAGTGGGAGTCCAGGGTCCCGCTAGCCCGGGGAGAGGCGCGCCTAGCCCGCTGCTCACCTGTCAGCCACGTCCTTCCGCGCGGGTGGCGGCGTCTCGCGCCTCCTGGCGCCTCCAGGGGTCGCGTGGCAGCCCACGCCGGCGCTCCCCTCCGCTCCCCTCGGCTCGGCGTTGGTAACGCCCGGCGCCCCCTGCAGGCGTGGTGCCGATGGTCCGCTCTGGGCAGCCCGGTGCGGCCCCTCCGCGGAGCGCGTTGGTTCGGCCCGCCAAGCCCGCGGGCGCGCCCACCTCCCCGGCTGCGGCGCAGCGCCCGGCGCGAGTCACGCGCACAGCCTCGCCCGGAGCCAGCAGCCGGGACGCGGCGCCGCCCTGCGCTCGAGCCGGGGTGGGGTGGGACAGGGAGCGCAGACTGCGGGGCCTCGCGGGCAGGTGCGTGTGGCCTCCGGCTTCGGCCTCGGCAGCGAGAGCCTCACTGTGGATTCCGGGAGAGCAGCAGTGAAGAAATGTGAAAAACAGAGCAAGGACAAAACGCCAGAGCCTGGCTTCCCTTGAGACCAGTGGACTCGGCCACTGGGGTGTGGTGTGGACGGGGTGGGCACTCGGGCTTCGGGGTTTTCAAAAAATACCCCATGCAGAGTCAGTGGTAAGACGTCCTGATGAAACTTGGTACCCAGGCTCCTTGAGGGCAGCGCGGGCTGGGCTGGGGAAGGACGCAGGTGCCTCCCCGCTGCTCCGGGCCGGCCGAGCAGGCAGTTGTTCTGTAGGCAGTTACTGGAAGCCCAGTAAAGCGACAGCCATTCTAGAAATGGCGAGAGCCTGAGACCCTTTCCTTTAGAAGCTCCACCTTTGTAGGGCAGCCAAGACAGCAGATAAAAGTCACAGTGTGTTAAAAGTATCCTAGCCTCACAGTCACAGAAATGCTGGAGTTTAACGAATGGTGTGAATGGTTTGTCGGGCTTGATGCCACATGCTTTTAATCCCATGGGGCAGGCGGATCTCTGTGAGTGTGAGCTAAGCCTGGTTTATATAGTGTGTTCCAGGACAGACAGGCTACATACATAGTAGGGTCCTGTCCCCCAAAGCAAGCAAACACCAGCAAAAGCAGTTGTAGGGAGAATCGGCATAGAAAAGACAAAAGGTCAAAACAAGGGTACTGAGGGGTGAGAAGCGGTGGAGCCCTGGAGGAAACAGTTGGACAGGTTTGGATGATGGAAACTTAGGGCTTTCCTGCAAATGATGGAGAGACAATAAAGTTCTGTCTTGCTTATTTTTCTGGTTTTTATTATTTATTTATTTTTGTGAAGCTGGTTTTTTGCCCGACCTGGAACTCTATGTAGTGCAGACTGGCCTCAGACTCACAAAGATCTGCCTGCCTCTCCAGGACTGGGATTAAAAATGTGTGCCACCACACCTTGCCCCAATAAAGTGCTTTATGCAGAAGCAGGCAAGATCAATTAAGACCTTTTGAAGTCAGGTTTGCTTGAGAGTGAAGTGGAGTTGGTTGTTAACTCTTCCAACAGGGGGAGCCATGAGGAGGCACCTAGTGCCTGCAGAAGCCGGAAAAGGGCATTAGATCCCGTGGAACTGGAGTTACAGGTGGTTGTGAGCCACCTAGGAATGGAACCCAGGTCTTTCTGCATACACGTGGTACACAGACATACATGTAGGCAAAACACCCATACACATAAAAATTTAAAAATAATAAAAATAAGAGGCCATGTAGTTTCAGAAGTTGAGGCCTCCATTTTAAAGTGGCCAGCATTTGTCAGAATAATCATCCGAAGTCTGTAGTCCTCTGCATAGAGAATAAAGCAGACCCAAAGATAGGAACAGTCAAGCACTGTTTCAGTCCAGGAGGAAGCCTCAGGAGGGGCTTTCTGAGCTGGGTCAGAAAGGCATCACGGTGGAGAGCCAGAACACACACTGTTAACACCTCCCGGAAACCCAGAGAGGACAGGCCCAGCTCACTCTGCACTTTCTCCTTCACCACTTTATTTACTGCTGATGCAAACCAATAAACAAGGAACACTTCCCTAGCCCCTGCAGTTCCAGCCTCAAATAGTTTAAGATACTTACAAAGTGGTTTGGGGGATATACTGGCTGGCTTTGTTGGTCAACCTGAAATGAACCAGAGTTACCAGAGAGGAAGGAGCCTCAGTTGAGGAAAGGCCTCTATGAGATCCAGCTGTAAGGCTCTTCCTCAATTAGTGGTCAATGGGGGAGGGCCCAGCCCATGGTGGATGGTGCTATCTATCCCTGGGCTGGTGGTCCTGGGTCCTATAAGAAAGCAAGCCAGTAAGCAGCACCCCTCCCAGGCCTCTGCATCAGCTCCTGCCTTCAGGTTCCTGGCCCGACTTCCTTCAGTGGTAAACAGCAATGTGGAAGTATAAGCTGAATAAACCCTTTCCTCCCAGTGCACTTATTGGTTATGGTTTCACAGCAGCAATAGAAACCCCAACTATGATGGGAATATGTAGCATTAGGGTCCTGGAAGTGACCCTAGACTATTTTCCCTTAACCTGTCTCCACTTAATCAGTACGTTCTGCAGGTTGTACACCTCAAATTCAAATCAAACTGGGAGCCCTGGAAGAGCAGAGCCTATCACATCGCTCCAGCCCATCACATGACCTTTTACCTCCGGTTGTATAACCGACTTAGTTTCTCAGAGCTCCAGATCTAACCACCAGAGACAGAAGCCACAAAGAGTTACGTAGCCCCCCTGGCCAGGCATGGCTATAGGTAGTGGAGTCAGCTGGTGTAACTACAACCACCTACGTCCACTCATTCATCAGCAACTGTGTGGAAGGGCTAGAAATCAATGGCTTCAATATTCTCAGTTACTAGAGAGACAGGTAATAAGCAAATCAGTGATACTGATAAATTGTTACCTATGTTTTTACATAGCCAATCCTCAGAGGTCTTTGGATCTCTCTTTAAAATATCTCCCTCTGTTTATGGGCGCTGGAAGGATGGCTCAGCTGTTAAGGGCACCGGCTGTTCTTCCAGAGGACCAGGGTTTGATTCCCAGCACTCACAAGGCAGTTCACCTTCCTCTGAAACTCCAGTTCCCTTTCCCCCAGAGATCCAATGCCTTCTTCTGCCTCCATGGGTGCCAGGCATGTACATGGTGTATAGACATGCAGGTAAAACACTCATATGCATAAAATAAAAATAAAGGAAAATTATAAAAAATTGAAGTATACACTCTATTTACCCACTGATTCCTACCCCCCGCTACACACACACTATGGCCTTAGTCCTCAGCCCACTGTACCATACACAGGAAAATAAAATTGCCTCATAGTCTTCCAGATGCCACCTTTGTCCCTGTTCTCTAATGTTTTTGGCTGTGACTGATGTTTTGTTTTAATAACTGAGCTGAGCCATCTCTCCAGCCCTGTACCCCTATTCTCTATTAGAGAAGCCTGAGTTAATCTTTTCAGATGGGATTTAAACGGTCCACTCTTCTGAGCACATCTATCTGGCTACCCAGCCCTGCGCTGAGCTTCACACAGCAGACTGGCTTCCCTTACAAAGTTTACTCTTATGGGTGACCTGGAACTTGCTATGTCAGGCTGTCTGCCTCTGCCTCCCGAGTGCTGGGATTCAAAGCACTGCTCCTTTCCACAGATGCAAAAAATTGTTTATTCGTGTGTGCGTGTTTCTGTTTATTTCAAACCAAGCTTCTTTTAAAACAAATGCAAGCTTACCTAGTTCGTGGTATTATATCATCAGCAGTAGAAAATGAACATTGGATGATGTTTATGTGTTGGTGTCTACTAGAGTACATGCTCTCTGCTTCAGAAATCTTTGTTTTTTTTCCCTTCCCTGTATCCACAGAATCTAGACCAGCACCCAAATCACGGTGCTCAATGACTATTTACTGTGTATGTAAATGAATATGATGGATTAGAGAGTGAGTTTCCAGAAGGGTCTGGAACATTCTATATACAAATTGTGCTTTGAGACATGTGGAGCTAAGATAGTAGCTCAAATGGAGCAGATTTATAGATCGAATTAGCAAACTGTAAGAGTGTGGGTCTATTCAACTAGAGCCTTCGAAGAATGGAACCTGTGGAATAAGGGATGAAACCATTTAATGGCTAAATATTGTGCTATATGCCTATAATTCCAGGACCTGAGAAACCAAGGCAGAGAACCACAAGTCTCAGGCCGGCCTGAGCTATGCTGGTGGGCTCCATCTCAGGGAGATGTAAGAGATATTTGCCTCTGACTATCTCTTTGATCTGAAGTCCACAAAATTTCTAGTACTTTTAGGTAGTAACTGACGTTAATCACTTTAGCTTCCATTCAGTAATTAAGAGACTTAATGAATCTTCTGTTTGTTTGTTTGTTTTTTGAGACAGGGCCTCACATACCTTAAGTTTGTCTTGAACTCATAATATAGCTAAGGATGGCCTTTCTGATTTCTTCCCTTTCCCTCACAAGGCTTGATAGTATAGGTGTACAAAGCCTGAATTAATGTTTATAATTTTTATATTATTTCTTTTATTGTTTTGTATGCTTAAGTGTTTGGCTTGTATGTATGTCTATGCACTAAGTGGGTACTGGGAATCCAACACAGGTCTTTGGCAATCTTACCACTGTGCCAGCCCCTTGAATTAATTTTTAAATTTTCAGACTTTGACTGCACGCTTTTCCTTGTTTGGCTCTGCCGGACTGCAGGTGGTCATGCCCAGTGGGAAACACAGTGGAGCTCAGTGGATGCTTGTGCTGATCCACCTACCTCTCCTCCTAGTTTTCTAGCCCTCATCTCCCCAGAGTTTGATTAAGGCAGTAGAGAGAAACGCTGAAGAAAATTCTTACCTGACATATGCTGCCACAAACCAGTTCTAGGCCTCAGCAAATACCTATAGCGAGCTTTTCCTCCAGGGCCCCTTTCTGTTGCTCACAAATCTCCCTTTTCACAAATCTCACTGTGTAGCTCTGGTTGTCCTGGAACTCTCCATGCTGACCTTGAACTCACAGAGAACCCCCTTTTCTTGCTTTTTAAAACATTTTTCTAGGGCTGGAGAGATGGCTCAGTGGTTAAGAGCATTGCCTGCTCTTCCAAAGGTCCTGAGTTCAATTCCCAGCAACCACATGGTGGCTTACAACCATCTGGAATGAGGTCTGGTGCCCTCTTCTGGCCTGCAGACATACACACAGACAGAATATTGTATACATAATAAATTAATATTAAAAAAATAAAAGATTTTCTAGTGACAAGCAGGGTATCAATATTTTGTGTATTTGTCAGTTGTATCAACAATC